GTGGCAAAGTGGTTAAGTTCATGTGCTCCACTTCGGCAGCCCAGGGTTCACAGGGTCGGATCCCGGGCGTGGACCTACACACTGCTTATCACGCCATGTTCTGGCAGCATCCAACATATAAAGTAGAGGGAGATGGGCACATAGAGGGAGATGGGCGTGGATGTTAGCCCAGGGCCAATCTCCTCAGCAAAAAGAGGAGGATTGGCAACAGATGTTAGCTCAGGGCTAATCTTCCTCACCAAAAAAAGACATGCTCTTATTCTATCAAATTGACACTTTCTTAAACTGAGGAATAAATTAGTACAATGTGAAATTTTACATTTTTCAAGTGAAATAATTTTTTTTAAATAACTGATTAATAGGATCAGTTATTTGGCACAGTTGGCCTCTGCCAACTCCTAGAGTCTGTACGGGATTTCCTGCAAGGAGTCGCATATTTTAGAAAGCTTAAAAGATCTTTGATAACTGTTCGTAGTTATCTTTTGTTGAAACAGTCAAATCAGTGAAACTAGTTTGACACGTACTCTGATAATATGAGTTTCCTAGTTAGACTTCCCAGCTCTGCCTGGGCGATTGCTAGTCTAATAGTCTTCTAATAAGTCTTTTAAAACACTTTTTGCAAGCAATGTCCATTTGGGCTCTAAATTTTATTGTATTTATTTATTTATTTATTTATTTTTGCTGAGGAAGATTCACCCTGAGCTAACATCTACTGCCAATCTTCCTCTTTTTGTGTGTGAACCGCCACCACAGTATGGCCACTGACAGACGAGTGGTGTAGGTCCATGCCTGGGAACCAAACCTGGGCTGCCAGAGCGGAGTGTGCCAAACTTAACCACTGTGCCACCAGAGCTGGCCCATGGGCTCTAAATTTTAAAAGTTATGCTATTGTATTTCTAGAGAATTTTTTGAGTTTAGTACTGTGAGGTCTTTGCATTTTTTGTTTTTTATTTTTTGCTATTCTAAGCACTGATGTTTATTAGAGACTCAAATAATTAAACTGTATATGAGACCAGAATAAGGTTTTTCAACTGTGTTGTTTTGTAATATTTTTATATGATGATTACTACTGTGGTATTTAATGTGGATTTGTACAGCATAAAAGAATTTTTATTTCTACATGCTTTTCTAACTTTATGAGACTTAAATTATTATACTTAAATCAACCAATATGGTTGATTAAATATGAAGTTCCAATAATTTAGTTTATTTGAATATCAGAATTACTTCCATAAAGCTTCAAGTCTTTAGGATAAATTTAAAAATTACATAGCCTGGAAAGTATGCAATCATACTTATGTTGAGACATTACATAAAATCGAAGTTTTTCTCAAATCAGACATCTATACAAATCATCATGAACAATATTTAATTTTACTATTTAGTGAAACCTCATGTCAAATTACTTAATGAAATAAGTTTTCATTTCACTTTATTAATTAACATTATATTAATTTTGAATTCAGAATTCTGGAACAGCTCATCCTTATGATAGTGGCCACATAGCGATGACCTACACTGGCCTTTCATGCTTAGTTATTCTTGGAGACGACCTAAGCCGGGTAAATAAAGAAGCTTGCTTAGCAGGCTTGAGAGCCCTTCAACTGGAAGATGGAAGGTATGGGTAACTCTTTGTTACTTGTTTTTTTTAAGAAAAATCTTTTGGAACTGAAAAAAAAATGGGTAAAATACTATACTAGAACTTTAGAGCTTATCATAAACTCTTAAAGTTCACTGTATACATCACTGTACAGTTAAGTACCTAATCAAAAATGTAATCCAAGATTTCTTATATGAATGAAAGTAAAAGTAATCACAATAACAGAACTCCATTCTTTCCCTTTTTGTTTCTTTTTTCTTTTCTTCTTCTTCTTTTTTTTTTTTTTGAGGAAGATTAGCCCTGAGCTAACATCTGTTGCCAATGCTCCTCTTTTTGCTGAGGAGGATTGGCCCTGACTGAGCTAACGTGAGTGCCCATCTTCCTCTACTTTATATGAGACGCCGCCACGCATGGCTTGAAAAGCAGTGCGTAGGTTCTCACCCGGGATCCAAACCTACGAACCCTGGGCTGCTGAAGTGGAGCGCGAGAACTTAACTGCTACACCATGGGCTGGCCCCTTTTTTTTGTTTAGCTGAGACAATAGATCCATAAATAAATGGTTGAGTAGTTTCAGGATTATGATCTGCTTTAATTCACCTTCTAGGTGAAAAAATAGATATTTTGAAGTAAACATACATTTAGTCTGAACTTTTATTCCTTAAGACATAGTGATAGAGGGAGAAAGGGATGAATATTAAATATTATATTCTTGTGTAGGTAGTTTCCATGACATTTTTAAAGGATAGAAAAAGAGATCGGTTCATTAGTATTTGATGGTTCGTGTGGTGTATCTAACTAAAGAAGAATCTTCCTAGAGTTTTAAGGTGAAACTTTTTTTAAGTCTAGGAAGTGATAAGCAGTAGTGATGCTAAGGAAAAGACTTTGCGAACAAATCCTATTATGTTGTTACATCTGTGCTCCATCTATTAATAGTCTATTTTCCTGTCAGTATTTTAAAAACACTGCTCTTGATGAGGGAAAAATTAGTGTAGACATACTGAAATAAATTGACATTAATTGGAAATACTGTAAAACAATATTTACCTTAGTTGTTACATGTGACTAATTTCTCAATATTTCAGTATAGTCTTTAATTACTGCTACCTTATCATTGTTTATAAATAAAGGAATAGACATGAGACATAGACGATTACCTCTCTAAAACTAAATAGGTAAAAATTAAATTAAAACAATATGATCAATTAATTAAGGGTTATCTATATATACATTTAGAAGAAATTTCACATAGCAAAATTTGGGCTTGGGAATTTCTTACCCAATAGGTCCCAGGTTTTACCTGCTACTGTTTCTGCCATTCTTAAGCCAGTGTACCACAGCTGTCCCTTGCTGAGAGCAAACAAACTTACTCTGAGTGGTGGTATCTGGGAAGGAGTAACTGTAGTGGTATGTAAAGCTACCCAGAAATCAGAACTTTGGAGTAGAGTAAGCATTTAGAGACAGTTTTATATTATTCAAGTTAATAGCCCTCTTCTGTACTGATTACAAGTAGTATATGGTTTTTAAATCCATATTTAGTGATAGATTTCTCTTGAGTAAAGACATGAAGTAGGTGTTTCTAACCTCTGCAAAAAAATATAGTACAGTGTTAATAGTAAATAATATTGTTATTTTCAGTTTTTGTGCAGTACCTGAAGGCAGTGAAAATGACATGCGATTTGTATACTGTGCTTCCTGTATTTGCTATATGCTCAACAACTGGTCTGGCATGGATATGAAAAAAGCCATCAACTATATTAGAAGAAGTATGGTGAGTTATGTTGATAAACTGAGTGTTCATTTTAGGTTATTATTGTTGGTATATGGGGGCTGCAGTATAATGCATGCCTCATCTCCTTCAGCAAGAATTTGGAAATAAGGGCAATACAGTTGATTTCTAGGTATGTCATGTATCAGAACAGCCATGTAGACATAATTGCCAAGGACAGATTGACTGCTTGGTCATTAAAATTTAAATGTAATCTGATTGTATCTAAAAAAAAAATGTCTTTTTTCAGAAAGAGATTGGTCAGCCTCAGAAGCGGAGAAAAAGAAAAAAATAAAATCTCAAAGGCAAATGTTGATAGTCTGTGCTAGCAGGGGTCAGTGGGGAGCCCTGGCCAAACATAATGAAAAATTATGGCGTTCTGGGTGAGATTATTCCTATATTAGGTATGAGGTTTGAGTTCCTTAAGCCATTTTGACTAGTAAGACCCAAATGTAACACGATTGACTCGGCTGACAATAGATTTTTGGATCACTTTTGGTTTCTTAGTACTTTAATGTGTTTTTTTTTTAAATCTAAGGTTTATTTTAAGGAGAATATCAAGTAGAAATGTTATTTTTTTCACACAATAATCTTTTTATCTGCAGTTGTAAGGAAAGCTTAATCTCAGCCAGAATTATCTTTTGCTCTACTTTTTAGTTTCTTATATAAAACTGGAGAAATAAAAGTGCTGCTTCCCAGGTTTATTACTTCCCAAATATGAAATTTTTAATTTTGTAGGTTAGAATATTTTAGGTTGGTAATTCAGCTTTTACTAGTCAGTATCTCAAAATGAAAATGTAAGTTCGTAAAGGAACAGAATTATTTTTAACTGAATGTGTGAATATGAATCAGATTTTGTAGAATCTACAGTAGCACAAATTTTTAAAAGCCTATGGAGGCAGGAAGAGCAAGCCTTTAAAGAAGTTTTAAGAGGAAAGGAGATTTATATTTTATACAGGGGTATTATACGCATGAGTACTACAGAAGTAATACTGTGTTCTTCTCAGTGCATTGTATTTGGAAGTACAACATATTGATTTGCCCTATTACTGGTGATGTTAACTTTGATCACTTGGTTAAGTTGATGTGTGCCAGATTTTTCTCTGTCAAGTTAGCATTTTTCCCTTTGTAATTATTCAGTATCTTGTGGTGAGATATTTGGAGACTTATGTAAATATCCTGTCCCTCATCAAACTTTTATCCACTAGTGTTAGTATACATTGATGATTTTCCAGCTATCTTTCCTTCTATAATTATCAATTGAAATTCCTTCTATAATTATCAGTTGAAATTCTGCTGTTAGAAAAAGCTTTCTCTTTGCCTCCATTTATTTATTTAATTTCACTATGGACTCTGGATTCTTGTTTTATTCAGTGGGTTATTATCTGTTACTATCATTTTTTTTTCTTTTTTTTCTTTTTTTTTTTCGTGAGGAAGATTAGCCCTAACATCTGTTGCCAATCCTCCTCTTTTTGCTGGGGAAGATTGGCACTGAGCTAATGTCTGTACCCATCTTTCTCTATTTTATGTGGGATGCCTGCCACAGCACAGCTTAATAAGCAGTGCGTAGGTCCATGCCCAGGATCCAAACCTGTGAACTTAACCACTACACCACCAGGCTGGCCGCCTATTATTATTTATTTTGGTGCTCACATTGTCCCAGATTTGGCCAGTGAGAATCCCTTCAAGCAGGCTCTTGTGCCTTTTTGACATGTCCCCTTCATTCTTTGAGCATCTTCTTTCTTTCTGCACAAGATATTCCAGGTTCATCTTTTACTTTCCCAGCCGTAGCTCTGGAATCAGTCATTTCTTCAAAGAGCCCTGGTTCTTCTTATTGGAGAGTGGTGTTTAGAAGCCAGGATTTGGGCACTAGATATGCTCATTGGTATTGGGATATCATTGCTTCTAGCCCCTCTCTCAGCAGGCAGAGCTAGGCAATGTATATATATGCATGTACACACAGACACCCCCCTTAAACACATACATCTATATGTATTTCTGTATCTGTCTATGTATTAAAAACCATGAGTCCATACTGATACCTCTAATTTCAATCCAACATTTTAACCTTCCTCTTTTCATTTGTAACTCCATTCTCTGACAGTGGCAAACCTGGCTCCCATTATCCAGAATGCATTGGCTCTTTTTGTGTAGATCCTCACCGTATATAGTCAAAATACTATATTTAATAAATACTTGGGTTACTTCTTTTGTTTTCCCCCCTTTAGTATGTTTGTTATTTATTTGACATACAATTAAGTTAGTTTCTGTTGAATTCCATTTTAGGATTCCCCCCCAACTTTGTTGATTTTATTTCCTTAATATGTGAAATATTAACTTGGTTCTGAAAGTCAGAACTATACAAAAAGGTATATTCAGAGATATGTAGCTCGTGGGGGCCTCCTGTGCCTCCTATCTTCCACCCCCTTCCTAACCCCCATATTTACCACCTTACTCCAATTCATTGTGTAGATAACCATTCTTATTGTTTTGTCTTTCCTATACTTCTTTTTGATGAGCAGATATGTATATTATTTCTCCTTCAGTTTCTTACTCAAAGGTAGCATGTCATAGATACTGTTTTGCAGTTTGCTTTTCTTACTTAACAATATAGCTTAAAAATCATAGCATACCAGGTCATAGAGATTTTCCTCCTTCCTTTTTTTTACAGTTTCATAGTACTCCATTGTGTGCGTGTGTTATAGTTTTTTCAACTAGTCTATGTATAGAGTACATATTTTCCAAATATAAACAATGTTGAAATTGAAACCTTCTGCGTATGTGCTTGTGGATTATTGGAGATACATCTTCAGGATAAATTCCTATTAGTGAAATTGCTTGATCAAAAGGTAAATGCTTATGGGATTTTATTAGACATTGCCCATTTTCTCTCCAAAAAGTACGGACCAATTTATATTCCCACCAGTGTATGAGAGTGCCTGTTTCCATACAGCCTCACCAATGGAATGTGTTGTCATACTTTTTTGATTTTTACCAATCTGGTGGGTGAAAAATGATAGCTCAGTGTATTTTTGATTTGCATTTATTTTATTATGAGTGAGATTGACCATTTTCTTAACTCTAGCACTGTACAAAACCAGCCTGGAGGCCACATTTAGGCTGCAGTCCCTGCTTGCTGACGCCTACTTCTAGGCTGTTACTTTGCTTTTTTCTAATTTTGTATATGTTCTTTCTTGTGTGCTTATCTTTCATTTTAGCCACTTTTCTCTGACCCTTTTTACTTCTTTATCTCATGTGGATTTTTTTGGCTGTTTTCAGCCTTTCTTTAATGTCCCTTAGTGTCTTTTCATTTGAGACTGTTATTCTTTAGGCATCCTATAATTTAGTCTTCATTTTTGTTTAGTTTGTCTTTTTTTCCCCTTTCTTTTCTGAAATTAACTCTCTCTTTATTTCTTCTTACTATTTGTCCCTTTCTGCTTTTAATTTTTAATTTCCTTTTCATATCCCAAATGCTTGTTTGATGATATGTAATTAAGTTTGTAATTGGGGTGCTGTATTACAGGTTTCTTCTGCTTTGTCACTGTTTTGTAGAGATGGAAGCAGATTTTCATATACTGAGATGTTTTCATTCTGATCACCGTGTTTTCATCTCAGAGTTACTTTGTACTGACTTGTCTTTTTCTTTTTAGTCATTTAGTGGATTTTTTTTTCTTACAAGAATTCCCTCTTTTCAATGCAAAGAAACAAAGTTTGATTTCTGAGTATTATTTTATTTTTGCTTTTTTTTTTTTTAGCGATGTGGGAAGAGTTCTGAGTTCTATGATTTTCTAGTAGGAGAGGTTCTCTTTGGTTTCCTAGGTCTCTAAATTTTTCTCTTTTGACTTTTCCTTTATTATCTGATCTTCAAAGGGCCCTTCTCCCTTCCTTTTTAACTGTCTTCACCAGAGTTATGCTCTTTGAACACTGCCACCTTGGCTTACACGGTCTCTTAAGTCCCTTGCCTCTAGTCAGTGCTGAGTTTTACCAGAACTCTTTCAGTTGAGGCAGTCCTCACTCTGCATGGTAGTACCAGACTGTAATGATGATCATGCAACCTGAAATGATGCAAAGTGATCTTAATCATCAATGGGAAAAATCACTGTTGTTCTGTGACCTTTACAATTTTTTGCCAAAACATTAAAAACTCTTACTGTCAGTTATAAATATATGGAGAATTTTTTTAATAGTAAGACCAATATATTTATTTAGCACACTATAATTTAAAATATTAGTAATATTGAGAATTAAAGTGTTTTATTTGCAAAAAATTTATAAAAAGTAGTTTGAACCATGCTTTGCCTTCTCGTTATATAACAGTATATGCAGTGAGCGTCTTTACTGTCTTGATAAATGATATACTCTTTTCTAAGTTTGTATCAGCTTTCAACATTTTATCTTTTGCGTTATCATTGTTGTGAAATAGCTCTGAGAGTTCTTTTTCTGTGAAGTGTTTGCCAGCATCACTTTTCTAGACTATCTTAATCCTTTTCATCTTAACTACTCTCCTCACTCATGTAGATATTTCGCCTTCACTTAGCTCTTTGGCTACGTATGTAGTCTCAAACAGCGATACTGTCAACATTCCCATGATCAGCTATTTCTTCTATAACTCTATGTTTGAACTCAATTTCCTTTCCAGTGCTATTGCTTTTCATTTCTTTACTGCACTTTCATCTTTGGTGGCCAATCTCCTCTTTTGGTTATGCTGTTTTTTAAAATGTCACGTGGGTTTATTACTAAGAGACAGTACAGCCACATACTTTGCTGTCTGTGTGTGAACTGTTATAATAACATGCGCAGTGACAAATTACTAACGGACTTTGAAAAAGGTAACATGATTGGTCACCATCATGAGACACATCTGTTATTTATGTAGTGATCTGTGGACTGAGGAGCTAGCAGCAAGTTTATACTTTATGTGATCACTCACAGTTAATATACATACCATGGTTACTGAAATTTGAACCAAGTTGTGTTGTTTAACAAGCCATGGTACGTATGGGGCATTTGTGCATATTGGAACTGTGCAAAGCAAGGACTGCCTGTATTTCACAGTTAGAGTAGACTTTCTCTTTCAGGCAGTAATTTTAGATCAATCTCAGACCTGCCATTAGCTCCCTCTCTCTTCCTCACGATTTTTCACAAATTGCCCTTGCTCTCTGTAAAAATGTATCAGGAGTATGAAAGACAGCTTGTTGGGATTGGGTGTTTCTTTTTCTGTAGACAGGTAATTTGAACATGTCTTCCAGCTTTGCTAAGGTTTCAGTTTTATATAGTTGTATTGTTCTTGTTCAGTTTTGATTTTGTAGGATATGTGGGGAGATTCAAATTTAGGCAGACACCGTTATCCTTGGCTACTCAAAAGGCTCAAAATAGATTTGTTTCATATTTATAATGTTTTATGAGTATAAAATGCTTATATTTTTCATAAACTCACATATTCTTGCAAGTGGGAGAGGATAAGGCTTGGAGCTTTTTATTGGGTAGAAATTGAATATGTAGATGCCATCTGTGAACAATCAATTCTCAGAATGTGCCCAATATATACATTTAATAATTTGGCATGATGAATAAGACAAGAGCAGGTTTTGAAAATGCCTAGATCTACTTCTTTGTGGAAAAGAGTAAGTATTTTGGAAGATGTAAAGGGGAAATAAAATTAGATCAAGAGGGAAAAAATTAGCATAATGGCAACTTATTTAAATTATTTTTATTTCCCTATTAAACTGAACAATGTTTTTCTTTTTCAGTCCTATGACAATGGGTTGGCACAGGGAGCTGGACTTGAATCTCATGGTAAGGCATCTTAAAATAAATGAACATGTAGTTTCTTTTGTTCTTTTAAATAGCTTCATGGTATCTTCAACATGGAGGACCTCAGAAGTTTGTCTCAACCCTTGGTGCAGCTTGAGTATCTTTCCTACTTCTCTCTTTTGAGACTGTTGTGCCAATGTGAGCCTCTTCTAGGTCATTAATCATTCAGAGATTATTCAGACGAGAATGTTCATACAATATTTTCTGGTAATCTTTTCAAGTGTTTACTTCATGAAAATATCTTGGGATGATTTCTTAGGATATTGTTAGAAAACAGCAAGTTTTCTTCTTTGGCATAACACTAAAAAAGGCTAGATGCAGAATATTAAATATGAGTAATGAATTTGTGAGTAAATGAAAATTTTTTATTTGCCTTTAATATAATTATCTTTAGTCATAGTCATAAAACATTTTGATACATAGTATATGTTCAGTACATACATTAGTATAATCTCTTCTTTCACATTTTCCCCTACTTTTGGCAGAACCAGAATTGTGAGATGTTAGTCGCTTAGTTTGTCAGCACATCAATAGACTGAACTCTTGCACATTGAATTTTTCCATGTAAAAGTAAATAAGCTTCCATACTCTTTTTTTAAAAAGATAAAGCCCAGATCAAGGAGGCTTTCTGAGTGAACTCCTTATTTCCCATTGATCACAGCAATTTTTTTGTGCTCACCTGTCGTGTCCATCCCTCTGCCAGTGTGATGGAGTGGAAAGAACAGATCAGTATTCAGGTCTCAGCCTGACACTAGCTGTGCGACCTTGGCTCCTCGCTTAATCTCTCTGAGTGTTGCCTTATCAACAGAGTAGAAATAATTATATCTTTCTTTAAGGTTCTTGTTAGGATTATAAGAGATATGGGGAAAAGTGGTTTATAAACTATAAAACATGTATAAAAAGATGTTTTTAATACATACTCCTCAACCCTGTGTCCTTGTACTTCCCCTGGGACCTTGTCCTATCAGGTATCTCCTCCCTCTCTCACGTCTTTACTGCTTCCTTTAATGTAAGTATTTGTAGAGTGTGTGTCACTAAGGAGTATAAAGAAGACTGTCTTGGATTTTCCTTTGAAGCCATATTATAATTAGGACAACTTAATTCTTGTGTGTGCCTGAGTCTATACGAGATTGGGGGTGGGTCAAGCTGGCAACAGCACTTGGTAAGGAGGGATATACTTGTAGTCGCACAAAGAGGAAATCTGGCATCTGTAAGAATTTCTGAGAAGACAGGGTCTGGTGCTCACTATTGTAAAGGGTGTTAATGGCTGAGGAGAAACCTTACTAGTACAGGAGACCTGTGGAACAGACACTCTTGTTCCCAAGAAATTGGGATTACATTCTCTGGGATATGAAACAGAGAGGGCCGCTCAAACATGATACTCTGTGATGGATCCTGTCAGGAAAAAATCTTGCTCAGTCACACAAGTTGTGATTTTGAGTCAGTATGACTTGAGTGGGATTGCACCCATCAAGATCATCAGTGATGGACTGTGATTCATGCCAAAAAGCTTCCCTCCTTTTATCTCTAAATTTGGCTTGGTAAATTTGAGGTCTAAAACCCTAGAAGAGGGCTTCCTAATCAGAGTGCCACAGTATATTGGTGTACCGCAAATGGGTTATAGGTATGCCAAAGCTATTGCTCCCTTAGCCTTTGGGCAGCCAAGCAGGACCGGGGTGTCTGGAGTCCCTAGTAAGATGGCCAGGAGCACTCGCCTCAGGGCACCGTGGTGTCAGGTATTATAATGTGTTCGATGAGGTTAGATAGGCTGAGAAGTACCACTCTAGAGGACTTTGGTATAGCTTTCCTTCCCTGTCTTATCTTGTTACTATGTACACTGGTGGCAAGTGAAACCTCTTCCTAAAAAGCAGTCCTGCAGTTTGACCACCCTGTGAAGTCATTTTGTTCTCTGGCTTTATTTCACTTTCTTCAGGTTTTGGCTCAAATGATATTTTTGGATAAGCCCCCTATTTAAATTTGCAAACCACCCACATACACACCCCCTATAGAAATGCACACCAACCACATACCCACACCTTCTTCCCTATTCTCCTTTCTGGCTTTATTTTTCTCTGTATCATTATATTTTATCTCTTTGTTTGTGTCTATCTCTCCTCACATAATGTAAGACTCATGAGAACAGAGATTTTGGCCTGTTTTAATCACTGTTGTATCCCTGACACCTGTAACACGTGTGGCACATAGTTGAATGAACTAACAGCTGGTTCGTTGTCATCATCCCTGTGTTGATGGTGCTCAAACCGTGTTTCCAAATCTGTACTGTTGCTTCTGAGCTGCATAGCCCCCTTTCCATCTGCCTGCCAGGCATATCTACCTTGATATCACTTCACTATCTCAAGCTGCACATTTTTAAAACCATCGTTCTCCTCTTTCCTTCTTCCCAAGCCTGTTCTTGCTGTTTGGGAATGTGGAACTACCACTAAATCTACTGATATTTCATGGAAGCCAGAAACTCAGAATTTGGGGTGTTTAATCTCTTGTTCTGTGTGGCTTTTTTTCCCTTAATTTGCCAGTCACACAGTTGTCCTCCATAGGTCACCAGTTTTTAATCCTTGATCTATAGGCTAAAAGGAAAAGAATTGATTTATTAAGCAGCTGCTCTGTGCCAGCTACCGTTTAGTCTCCTTTAATTCTCACGCCAGCCCTCTGAGAGTAGGCATCTTTGTATTAGTTGGATTCAATCAGAGAAGCAAAACCACTATGAATATTAAAGACTAAGAATTTATTATAAGAATGAGATTTTACATAGTTGTGTTAAGAAAATGGAGAAATAAGGACCTGAAAGGGGTAGTTTGTGGATCAGGGAAAAGTTACTGACAAGCCCTGCTGAAGCACTGGCACAGGTGGACAAGTCAGACCTTGCAGGGGAATCTGGAGAGCCAGCACATCCAGCTGCCAGAGGGTGACTGTGATGGAGGAGCCTGCGGAGGGCTGTTGCTCCTGCATCTGTTTGTGGGCCTGATGTCACCACGACAGGAATTAAGAAGAACTTGGATTCCAAGTATTTGAGAGAATAAGGGCAAGCTGGAATCTCTCAGCACCTCTGCCTTTGTCTCTTACCTCCTCTAACCACAACCAGGGCAATGGCTGCTGCTTCACTTCCACCTTACAAATCTTACACAGATTTCTGTTAACTTCAGGCCATACAGAGAAGGGGATTCTGGGAAACAGAATTCTAGCTTAGCCAAGTTAACACAGTACAAAACCACCGCAATAATTACTGTCATTTTACTCAGAGAAGTTAAGTAACTTACCTAGTAGGCTCACTTGTCAGATAAGTGTCGTAACCCACTTGAAACCCTTTGCTTGCTCAGCAATACCATTCTGCCCACATTTACATCCTTTAGTTTAGTTCTCTGTGATCCGTTTCCAGCCTAGCTTTGTCAGGTAAGTGATCCCTTCCATGCGCTTTAAGCTGTAGAGAAAATGTAGTCTCCACGTGTTCTTACATGCCTTTTTACCTCTGGACTTGGCTGATATTCTCTTTTTTTTTTTTGGCCTGAAGTACTTCTCCTCCACCTACTTTTCCTCGTTTCCCTTTTATTAAACTTCCAAGTTTTACCCATCTTTTTATGCCTGGTTCCAGTGTCACATTCTCTATAAAACCTTTCACCATCTCTTGTTCCTGCTAGCCCTGAGCACCTTCTCCCTTTGCTGTGTTCCCGTAATCTTGGTACATACCATTTTCACAGTACTTACCCTTGTTTGCCTTATCTTCTCTGCTAGCTTGTAAGCTGATCATGTCTTATTCGTGTCTTACTCCATACGTGCTATACATTTGTAGTAGTTCAGTATGTATTCAATGAATTGGTTATCCTGTATCCTACTCTGCATCCCAAAGCTGAGAAGGCTGAGTTTAGAATGTGTACTTCTGCTAGTTTGATAATAATCAAGTTTCTTCATATGCTTTTCTTCCTAATTCTGTAGTCTAAATGTTATTTAATACAATGTTGTGTTCTTAATTCATCTGCTCTTCTCTAACTACTGCTTAGCCTGGAGCCCATTTGTCATGAAAACTAAACAGGCACACTGGAACCTTCTAGGCCATGATCATCAAATGTAATGATTCTATTTATCCTAGTGATTCTCTTACAATAGTACAGTTTTAGGGTAAAATCTTCATGTGTTTTGGAAGAATTGAATTTTCCTGTGTTGCTAGGATTAAAACTATTTTTTCCTCTCAGGATTCATAATATAAAATTTCTGATAAATTATGATTTCATGATTCTTTTAAAATATCTCTACTCCTTAATCCCAGAAGAGAAATATTAAATTCTCTTTGGCTTAATTTCATCTAAGCATTCAACTCCTTTGAATACAGAGCTAGAGCTGGGAACACCTCCTTTACCCACCCCTGGAAGAACTGGGGTAGGTTGGTGAGAGAGAACCTGTATGGTCCCTTCCAGCTGTGATATTTTATGACTGAGGTACTCTGCATACATTAATTATCCGTATAACTGAGACATATCAGTTTAGGTGGCAAATTTTTAGCAATTTCAGATGGAAGTCTGTCTCTTATTTGCATGTGCCCTAATATTCTCTTACTGTTATATGCCTTCGATAAAGAAGATTATTTTCATACATTCTTCAACCAAGGCATTATGAACACAATTTAACCTTTTCTTGATGAATTCAGGTCATTATTATGAGAAGCAATTCTTGTATTGTACTGTAATATAATGATGTAATATTCTTGAAGTTTTTTGAAACTTGTGGGAATTATTGACCTAATCCTATATAGCCCCAAAACAATATTCTCTTTGAGTTCTTATACCTGCGTTCTTTTAGTATTTCTTAATTTACTTATTGTCAAGATGTTACCTATCTTTTCTTGCTGTTTTATGTCTGTCTCTAACACTCTTCTAACGTACTACTTTTATTTATTTATTTATTTATTTTTGTGAGGAGATCAGCCCTGTGCCAACATCTGCCAATCTTCCTCCGCTTTTTACGGGACTCTGCCACAGCATGGCTTGCCAAGCGGTGCGTCAGTGCGTGCCCGGGATCTGAACCCAGAGCTCGCGCACTTAACCGCTTGCGCCACCGGGCCGGCCACTAATGTACTACTTTTAATCCAGATTTTTAGAACTAGTTTCTTAGAATTTTGTGTAAAACAAGAACCTCTCGGGTAAATGTTGGTAAATGAATTTTAGCTTAAAGCATAACTGTTTATAACTGTTTTTGGCTGCTGAGAGCCCAAACTTACTTCAGAAGTTATTATTTTCAAAATCTGGTGATTTAAGCAAGTAAAGAGTATTTTTACTTTTGAATTGCGTCACTTTGCTTTAAAGAATCCTAACAAGTAATTTGGAGAGTAACAATTAAATGCCTCTTTTTACTTTTTGGTAGTTAGTTTTAAAGATTACATACTGTCTATTAGAGGCTTTATGTGTAATGATGTTATAATATGTGAAGTCATGGCCAGCTTATGAAAGAGAAATTGAAACTAGTGGGTCGGTGAAGGGGAAATAAGATCGATGGTCGCTTAATAGATGGTCTTCTAAAGGTTGTGACAAATTTGTTTTGCTTTTCTGTTTTAATTCACTCATGATTAACATAGATCTCCCAACTAATTGGGAAAAATTCTGAAGATTAAATAGTTCTTACTGACAGTAACCCTTTTAATGTGATAGCTGCCTTGAGCTTTCTAGAGGGAATCTTCACTTTTCCTTTTCCAGAGAATACATCCGAGATTTGTAACACCAGAAGGAAAGGTACAGGATGAGGCATATTAGGAACAATCCATTTATTTTATTTTTTTAGTTAATTTTTTTGTTGAGGTAAGATTTGTTTATAATATTATATAAATTTCAGGTATACATCATTATATTGCAACTTATGTATAGATTACATTGTGCTCACCACCAAAAGTCTAATTGCCATCCTTCACAGTACACATGTGTCCTTTTACCCCCTTCATCCTCCTCCCACTCCTACCCTCTCCCCTTCTCTCTGGTAACCACCAATCTATTCTCTGTATCTATGTGTGTGTTTGTTGTTGTTGTTTTATCTTGCACATGTGAGTGAAATCATATGGTATTTGGCTTTCTCTAACTTATTTTGTTTAGGTCCAAGGAACAATCCATTTAAATAGCTGAAATTAATAAAAATCACTAAGTGAAGTTGTAATAAATTGGAAGTATAAGTGTTTTCACATTGTTTGGAGTTGATAACAAATAGTGCTAGTGGAACGTGTTGTTTCTATTCCTTTATGGAAAATACTGACTTTTCATTTTCTGAGGAAATTTATTACCTTTTTGAGTATATTGGTTTCCTATTGCTGCTGTAACATTTTACTGCAAACTTAGGGGTGTAAAACAACACAAATTTATGCTGTTACAATTCTGGAGGCCAGAAGTCTGAACTGCATCTTACAGGGCTAAAATCAAGATGTCAACAGGGCTGGTTCCTTTTGGAGACTCCAGGGGAGAATTTGTTCCTTTGCCTCTTCCAGCTTTTGGCGGCTGCCGACATTCCTTGACTTGTCGCCGCATCCCTCCAATCTCTGCTTCCATAGTCACATTGCCTCCTGTTTCTGTAGTTTAATCTTCCTCTGCCCACCTCTTATAAGGACGCTTGTGGTTACATTTAGGGCCCACCCAGATAATCCAGGATAATCTCCCCATCTCAGGATCTTTAATTTAATCGTATTTGCGAAGTCCCTTTTTCCGTGTAAGGTAACATGCACATGTTCTAGGGATTAGGACCTGGATATCGTTGGGGGACATTGTTCAGTCCACCATAGCGGGTATGGATACTCACTGTGCATCTACTTCCAGATACAGTTTTCTTCCCCCCGCCCCACACACACACACTCTGTCCCTCTCCCCTCGCTCAAACTTTTCTTCCTTAAATTTCTTAAGCTGACTAGGTATCATATCTGCACGTCAGCTTCTAGCTTGTTTATCTTATGTATGAAAATTAGTCTGTAGCTTGAGGCAGATTGAACTTCAATTCATAAGCAATATACTGTCTTTAAGGGAATTAAAATCAGACTGAGGTGATGGAGTCCTGGAGAGGGAGTGGTGGTCCTAGATTTTAGTTTCAACTCTGCCATTAACCATGTAATTTATAACAAGTTCCTTAATCTCCCTGAGTCTTTTTTTCATAAGAAAAATGTTTCTTTTAGCTTTAAATTATTTTAAATTCTTTTCTCTTTCCATATTAATGTTGAAGACTTCAGTGCTTAGTGGCTATTTTAAAATTATAATTGTCTTTTAAATTTAAATTACGTTTATTTCACTATTTTCTAGAATTCTTTAATCGCTTTTTTTTTCTTCCAACCATTTTATATTATTTCCCTAGATGTCTAACTTGACGTTTAAAGTATTGTGTGGTTTTTATTAACAGGAGGATCCACTTTTTGTGGCATTGCATCCCTGTGTCTGATGGGTAAACTAGAAGAAGTTTTTTCAGAAAAAGAATTGAACAGGATAAAGAGGTGGTGTATAATGAGGCAACAAAATGGTTACCATGGAAGACCTAATAAGCCTGTAGACACCTGTTATTCTTTTTGGGTGGGAGCAACTCTAAAGGTAAGAGAAATAATGAAAATGACAAACCTATATTCTGTGTTAATGTAAGCTGTGCTTAAAGAGTTTGGTCTTTGTAATGTTCATTAAATATTGTTAGATTTAGGCTACTAAGTTTTTCCTGTTGCTCTCCCAAAGCTAGTCTCTGGTTTTTCCATAGACTTCAGTTATCTACTTGAAAATTCCCATTCTTATAAAACTCAAGTGGCCCAGAAGCTAGGTAAGGAAGTAGGTATAAGGTCACAAAAAACTTGTTACTGAAACTGACCAGTAGTCCATCTAGAGCGGGGGTCTGTCTGAACATACCAGTAAAGGTTTTATGGGAAGATATTAATCTTAAAAGATAAACCATGAGCCATTTCTTTAAAAACCATTTGAAATTTTTTTTTAATTTATTTGTGGAAACCTTCTGAAATGTGTTAATTGATATGTTAATACATTTTTCCCCATCTCTACTACCTTTTGATATACCTAATTCCATGAGGTTTTTAGTCACTAAATACCCACAAGTTTTCTCTTAAAATTGCCTTTTCAGGGCCAGCCCGGTGGCATAGAGGTTAAGTACGCAGGTTCTGATCCTGGGCGCAGACCGACACACTGCTTGTCAAGCCATGCTGTGGCAGCATCCTATATAAAGTAGAGGAGGATGGACATGGATGTTAGCCAAGGGCCAATCTTCCTCAGCAAAAAGAGGAGGATTGGCGATAGATGTTAGCTCTGGGCTAGTCTTCTTCACCAAAAAAAAAAAAAAATGCCTTTTCACCTTTAAACAATGTCACTTAGTTCTGATATTCTGAAATCTAGCAAAAGTCTAATGTTCATCCTTTACATAATATCCTAAATTTTTCTCTTAAACAAAATTCCTACCTATGGTTGAAATAAATTCAGAAAACAGAATGATTTTCAATGAAGGCAAGAGCCTTTCCCTTTCCTCACTTCTAGTGCTATTCCTCAGATGTACCATTTTAATTTTTTTAATTGGGGAAAACTTCAAACATATTTAAAAGTAGACTATATATAATGAACCCCTATATGTCCATCAACCAATCTCAACAGTTTCATCCCAAAGCCAGCCTTCCTTCATCCATACTCCTATCCACTTCCCTCTCTCTCACTGTATTATTTTAAAGCAAATCTCAGATACCATTTTTTGTATTATCTGGAAATTCTTCGATATAATTGCTAAATGAAAGTAACTTTTAAAAAACCACAACTGTAGTATCGTTATCAGATCTAAAAAATCAGCCATAATTCCATATTATTATTAAATATCTTGTCAGTGATAATGTATATTACTTGTTGCATCACATCAAGAGACACATAATTGCTGGTTGTTTCTCCTTTTGATCAAAGGGCTCCAGAATTGTCAAACCTGATTTCTCTGTTATAAGGGAGCCCATCAGCTTTTTTTCCTTTTTACTTTTTTTTATGGTGGAAAAATATATATAATGTAATATTTGTCAGCTTAACTATTTGTAGGTGTACAATTCAGTAGTGTTAATTACAATCACAATGATGTGTAACCATTACCACTATCTATACCCAAAACTTCTTCATCATCTTCAACATAAACTCTGTAATCATTAAAGACTAACTCCCCATTCTCCCCTCCCTTCAGCCCCTGGTAACCTTTATTCTACTTTCTCTGTGAATTTGCCTGTTCTATGTACGTCATGTAAGTGGAATTATATAATATGTGTCGTCCTGTGTCTGGCATATTTCACTTAGCATAGTGTGCTCAAGGTGATCCATATTGTAACATATATCAAAATTTCATTCCTTTTTATGGCTGAGTAGTATTCCATTGTTTGTATACATAGTATATGTATGTGTATTCTATTGTTGTATGTATACCACATTTTGTTTATCCATTCATCTGTTGGTGGACACTTTAGTTGTTTCCACCTGTTGGCTATTGTGAATAAGGTGGCTATGACATTGGTGTACAAATATCTGTTCATGTCTCTACTTTCGTTTCTTCTGGATATTTATTTACCTAGGAGTGGAATTGCTGGATCATATGGTAGCTCTATTTTTAACTTTTTGAGGAACCACCAAACTGTTTTCCACAGTGTCTGCACCATTTTACATTCCCCCTAGCAGTGTATGAGGGTTCCAATTTCTCTACATCCTCACCAACACTTGTTTTTTCTGTTTTTTTAGTAATAGCCATTCTGTTGGATGTGAAGTGGTATCTTGTTGTGGTTTTGATTTTCATTTCCCTAATGATTAGTGATATCGAGCATCTTTTCATGTGCTTATTGGCCATCTGTATATCTTTGGAGAAATGTCTATTCAAGTCCTTTGCCCGTTTTTTAATCAGGTTATTTGGTTTTTTTCTTGTTGAGTTGTACAAGTTCTTCATATGTTCTGGATATTAATCCCTTATCAGGAAAAAGGTTTGCAAATATTTTCTCCAATTTCGTGTTTGCCTTTTCACTCTGTTGATAATATCCTTTGATGCACAAAAGTTTTTAATTTTGATGAAGTCCAATTCACCTGTTTTTTCTTTTGTTGTACCAAGTGCAGTGTCATGAAGATTTTCCCCAGTGTTTTCTTCCAACATTTTTATAGTTTTAGCTCTTGAGTTAGGTCTCTTTGATCCATTTTGAGTAAATTTTGTATATGATATAAAGTAAGAGTCCAACTTCATTCTTTTGCATGTGGATATCAAGTTTTCCCAGTACCATTTGTTGAAAAGACTGTCCTTTCCCCATTAAATGGTCGTGGCACCCTTGTTGAAAATTGGCTGACCATATATGTGAGCGTTTATTTCTGGGCTTTCAGTTCTATTCTGTTGGTCCATGTGTCTGTCCCTATGCCAGTACCATACTATTGTAATTACTGTAGCTTTATAGTAAGTTTCAAAGTCAGGAAGTATGAGTCTTCCAACTTTATTCTTTTTCAAGATTGTTTTGGTTATTTGGGGCCCCTTGCACTTTCATATGAATTTTAGGATTGGTTTTCCAATTTCTTACAAAAAATGGTGTTGAAATTTTGATAGAGATTGCGTTGAATCTGTAGATCACTTTGGTTAGTAGTGACAACAATGTTTTCTTCCTATCCATGAGTGTGGCATGTCTTTCCATTTCTTTAGAGCTTTAATTTCTTTCAGCAGTGTTTTGTAACTTTTAGCATACAAGTCTTTCACTTCCTTGGTTAGATTTATTCGCATTTAATTCTTTTAGATGCTATTGTAAACAGAATTTCTTTCTTAAGTTCCTTTTGGATTGTTTGCTGTTAGTGTATAAAAACCTTGTCACCTTTTTGCGGAATGGTTTTAGCAGCCATTGAGGATCATTGCTTAGATCCATTATGTCATTGGGGGTTGCAAAATGGTGATAATCTATCATTCCTTCTAAATTTACTAACTAGGATTCTTTATTACTTTACCCTGAGGTATAGTTGGTACAGTGAAAGGCAGGTAAATAATTCTTTCTCTTAATTTTAATAATGTTCATTCAGTACAGTGAGTTGGTTCCCTAGCATCACCTAAAGTTTTCCAATAAAATAATTGTGTTTTACAGGCTTTTTTTCCTTTGAGTATCATTGTGAACTCATAGATTTTGAAATTTTATATGTTTTAATCCATTACATCATTTTTAAAACTCAAATTGTCCCATCATTAGCCAATAGGAGCCCGTTCAGTTTGGCTCTTGAGTCTTTTTGATATGATCTTGGTAGTCTTTGACAACTTTGTAAAGGCAACCACTTTTAAACATTTTTTGCAATTTTAATTCTCGTGGATAACTTTAAATAATATGCTGATTTCTTGACTTATCACCTTTAGACAGTATCTTTGATTTTCAGCTATGAAAAATGAAGATTTAACCTTACTTTTTTCTAGCAAATTGTTACTGGTTTTATATATTTTTTTTAGTTCTGAACCCTTTCTCCTCTTATACCTTCTAGTTCTGTCAGTTTACCTTCACTTTTATAATGTCAAGTTAGGTAACATTCAAATTTTATTCAGTAACAATAATAAAATATTTTTTGTTTTATGCTTTGCCTTGTAGGTTGATTCTAAAATTTGAAAACCAGTAATCAGCACTTATTATGATCATGTAAATATTGTTTATTGCTGAACTAAATACAGTGTTAAGATCATAGTTTCTGTTTATGTAATGACCCATATGCCCCCTGATGGAAAATGTTTCTAGCATCAGGATTCTAAAGAGTCTCTTTCCTTGTATCCTATTAATTAAATCAAAATAAATGAATGTTTGTTTCTTATTTGTGCCATAACTTTATTGGTTTTGTTTTTCTTTTTGAGAAATAATGCTTTTTCATTAATCACTATTATCTTCCATGGCTCTCTGATTCATTAACATACTTTCAACTGCTTTGTGTCTTACAGAAATTTCTTGAACTCTATTGTCCACTGCTCACCCCCCACCCCCGTTCTCTTCACAGTTTGATTTATCCTTAATTTTTTCTGTTCAGTGGGCTCTTGAGAGAGAAGACAGATACATGTCCTGAATCTTTAAGCTACCTAATTTTTATGCTAAAATCATATTTGTCTTACCTTCCATCTTTCCTAATTAAAGAGCTATAATTTTTTATTATTCTCAAACAAAACTGTCTCTAACATCTTGTTGATAACTTTGTTGCTCTTTTTTGAAATATTTTTAGTTCCAGTTACTGCCGGTTTCTAACTAATAGCTCAAAAGCATCATAAGTGTGATATAATATATATAAGAAGATAAGAAGATAAAATTTCACTTTTTTTGCTTGTTTTTTAAGTTTCACTTTTTTAAATGACTAAGTTGAATAGATTGCAGAAGTTGTGTTTTGAACCTAGCTAAATGTGACACAAAAAGGTTAGTTGGGCATGGTTCAAAAGAAGGAAATAGTGAGTGGTGGGTCAAGAAAAGGAGAGTAGATTTGATAAGATGATAAAAAAGATAATAATTTTAAGTGCTCAAGTCCGCAGAGGCTTTCTCTGAGAGCCTTGATAGAAAAAAGCATATTTAAATGATTCATATCTGAAAATTGAGCCAAATGTCAGTATGAAAGTTTGTGTCAGTAAATTTATATTTGTCATGTCATTTCAGCTTCTGAAAATTTTCCAATACACTAACTTTGAGAAAAATAGAAATTACATCTTATCAACTCAAGATCGCCTCGTAGGGGGATTTGCCAAGTGGCCAGATAGTCATCCAGGTAATTTATTTTTTGTATGAATCCAGAACAACTTTTTTTGTGTTATTTCTTGAGTAGATCTTCAAGCATCTTTGTCAGAAAGGGCATATGATAGAAAATTTAGCTTACATTAAATAATATATTTTTAAAAGGATAAATTATTTAAGTTTAGGGTAGATTTAGGGTGTTGGGGGTATAAAGGAGGGGTTTAATTATCAGGATGTATTTGTATAGTTTGCATTTTTTCCAAAATATTTCACTTAGCAGTGTGTTATTTCATTTGAGGCAATAAGGCAGCTGGTCTGAATGGGCCCATTTCAAAATAAGAGAATCATTTGTTCCATCCAAAATCTTTAGGATTATTAGCTATCACTTGAGCTGTGTAGAATAAATTACTCTTAATCCAAAAGGAACCAGTTCTTATTCTTTTCAGAAGTCATTAAATCAAAAATCTCAAATCCTGAATATAGGTGTCCCTCACTGTCCATACTCTTGTTCCGGCAGATTCAGGTTATTTTTTTAGCTGAATACTTTGCTATCTGAGCTCTCACCATTCACCATGTAAAACTCAGGAACAAAATAGATTCAGACAATGTGATGTTCCATGCTTTCCAAACTTAGGAATGGCATAGATGTGAAGAGCGAAGGATTCTTGTGTTTCATAAGTACTTTTAAATGGGTTCTTTAGAAATAATGAAAAATATTTATTAATAATGACATTTCTTCAAAATATGTGGATAATTCTGCTGTTTCCCAAAGCTGGACAGACCTCATTCTAAGTTACATGCTCTGATATAAAACTGCCTGCTCAGTAACTACATGGATGTCGTCTACAGGCCCCTCAGACCTAGCCTGCCAGCTGAACTCCCAATCTCCATGCTCCACCCTGCCCCAGAGTGTTAGTGGCACAAGGCCCAAGTGCAGGCCTAGGATTCTGCAAAAGTCTTATCGTTGGTCTTCCTGCCTCTAGTCTAGTCCGCCTTGTATTGACACTTTGTGTGTGTGTGCATGTGTGTGTGTGTGCTCGCGCGCACACGTACATATGTACGTACATGTGTTTAAATGAGAGGAGAGGGGCCAAAGCTTTTTTCAGACTCTAAAAGGGAGCTCTGATGCAAAACAGGTTGAGAAGCTCTAATCTAAACTCTTCTATTAAATCTATCAATTATTCAGAAACTTTCTCAGCACTCAGAGTCAGTTCTTTGGCATAGCACGCAAGACCTTCCAAGATTTGGCTCCTCTCTCACCTCTAGCATCGTTCTCCATGCTACCTACCCGTCCCCCTTGTGTTTTTTACCTGTAGCAAATGAATCTGTTTACAGCCTCCCCAAAAATCAATTTACGAGTTTGTTAAAAATAATTCAGAACACTGACATTTTTGATAAGCAAGTTGACAAAGTACTAGCTATTAATATATGAAACTAGATTAAAGGAATGATTGTTTTCGCAGCATTGTAATAGAATCATGGTTTTTATCATTAGTCTAGAACCTCTTCAACTCATCTTCTATCATAGAACTGCTTGGTCGAAATAGGTACTTGAATCAAAATATAAATAAGGGGCTCACGAAATTGTATTTTTGTATCTGAATGAGCAGGAGTATTTCCTCACATCCATACTTACCTGTATTTTCATGTAAAATATGCTTCTTTAGAAAAACTGTACAGTGCTTTTAATTTCTAAAGCAAAATAATATTTTTAAATTTTGGTATTTGTAACACAGCTATAAATATATTAGAAAAGTGCCTCAAGAAAACAGAATTATTTTGGTCTTGATGCCTTTGTTTTCAATCAGTGCATGGTACTGTTTTAACAAATAATATACTATTTTAACAAATAATCGGAATAGGGAAATAATCTCTTTATTGTATAAACGTACTTGAAATGCATTTGGAGTATTTACAGTAGCTTTTTTAAAGGAAAATTCTTGAAGCTTTTTTGTGGAGAGATCAGTTGTTAACTTTAACATTTGTGTAAATACTTGGATGTAATAGTTTTTACAGATATGTTACAATGTCTTCAGAGCCTCTGCACTACAGAGTATAAAAAGTCTTTGTGATAAATTGAGTTTATGTGGAAAGACCTATTCGCAAGGGATGCCTTTATGAAAATCATTTTAACGAGATTTTTAAAATTAGTTTATTCTTGGTTCTAAAATCTAGTAGCAGATTTGACGCTAAGGGATTTTATATACATTTATAAAAGAAATTATGGAAAGAATGAAGTTTTATTACAAAGAATATATATTTCGACATCTAAAGTGCTTGAAAACGTCACCACCCACAAAGAGTTTTTTTTTAAAAAAAGCTATTTAAGGTTTGAAATAATTAACTTCTGATTCATGGGCTTTTACAAAAATCCTTTTGAGAAAAAAATGTTTTATTTTTAAATTATCTGAAAAGTGTAAGATCCTATTTTATGCTATTCTGGATGTATTTTATTTCTCTTTCTGTTACATTTTTTCCTAGAAAAGTTTCCTCATTTCTAGACAGTAAAATGTAATACTGCTTTGTGCCCTTTGTAATTTTAGAATAACTGCAAGGAAAATATAATAGTATAGGGAAAATCAAATTTATTTTTGTGTTCTGAAAATTAGAGGAGAATGACCCAGAAGAAACCTAAGCATTCTCTGAAAAAACATAAAGGGGGATTAACGTAGGCCTCCATTAGTGAAAAAACTTTTTCACAAATAACATTGAGTAAGCACAACTATTTGTCATTCCTGTTGGAAAGTTAAATGATACTTATGTAAGTGAAACTTTTTCTTTAATTCTTTTGACAAAGTTTGGTAACATATTTTGAACTTTCATAGCTCTTGAGGTCATAAATAATGGCCTATTCAAAAATAGAAAAATAAAAATAATTGACTGCTACAAAATCCGCTTTTTTTTTTTTGTGGTGTTCCCATAACTGCAGGGCTCTGAGCTCTTCAGAAGCCCATATAAGGCTGACAGGCAACAGCCATGTGATTTCAGTGGCCACTTTAATGGAAGTGGGTTGCTGCCTCCTGAAAGATGGGAAACTGTAGTGAGACCAGTGTAGAAGAATTGTTATGGTATGAACACTCACATAACCAAATAGAATGTGAGTTTGTTTTTATTGTTAGGTCAGATATTTTTAGAATGGCTGACATTACCCTAAATAGGAAAATTAAATATGGGACAGCATTCCAGAATGGATTATTTTGCTTAAGCTTCTTTCATTTAACAGTATGTGTATGGTTTAGGAACTGTTAGAGGTGAAACTTGCGGGGGGTAGTATTGCTACTTAGATTCAGAAATTTGTTTAAGCAAAAATTTTCCTTTTATGATACAGAGTTAAAGCCACTTGTTTCCATATTCTGTAGTAATAAAAGGGGAACACTCACTACAGTGAAAAGTCTTACATATTACTGCTACTCTTCCTTTTTCTCCTTTAATCACAGAGGATGTTGGGAATGTCACGGCTTCAGCTAGGAACTTTTGTTTTTCTTTGTTAGTGATATTTTCTTGAATAAAATATCATCTGATTTTGATGATCTGGTTTTTAAAAAATTGGTGTTTGAGACTTTAAGAAAACAAATACTTCAAAAACCATAGTATTTTTCTAAATTTATTTTTAATGTAGTGATGGGCTGATAGATATGTAGCTAAGATATTTTGTAGCATGTACAAAAAGTATGCCTGTTGTAATAAAAATGCCTCATTTTCAGATGCTTTGCATGCATACTTTGGGATCTGTGGCCTGTCACTAATGGAGGAAAGTGGAATTTGTAAAGTTCATCCTGCCCTGAACGTAAGCACTCGGACTTCCGAACGCCTTCGAGATCTCCATCAGAGCTGGAAAAGCAAGGACTCTAAACAATGCTCAGAGAATGCACACATCTCCACGTGACTTGACTTTAGATTGGGAGGGTGGGGGGATTTGTAGCATAACTGTAGCTCAAGGTTAAAAGCCATGTATAACCAAGCGTGCTCTTTTTTTAAGAGGTAGATTCCTACAATCAAATCTTGTGCTGATGTCACTTTGGGATATGGTCTTGAGCCAGTAACCTTTGTACTGGGTTTCAAGAAAATCTTTGTTGAAGTTTGAACCACAGTGGACTCTCTTGTGGTTCTTAAATGTTTATACTGTATTTCTAAGAAGTTCTTTGAGGCAAATTAACTGTATGTAGGTTATCTTTTTGAACAACTCTTCAGTAGACTGTATCATATTATAAAAGGGACAAAAATCTTCAAAATAAGTTTACAGTTCACATAGCATTGATAATCTTCAGGTGAACACTTAGTGATCGATCATTTAAAAAGCTTGATTGCTGATGGTAGAAATTTGCTTTAAGGAATTAAGTATCTGGGATTATTCTTTGAAAACAGATGATCCCATAGTCTTTAAAAAGAAGAATGACTTATTTTGTCTTATTCTTCAGTGTGCCAATTAAACTTGTGTGGCTTATATAAATGAAATTAACTTCATAGCAAGAATGAATAGGCCTGACTAATACGATAATTTTCTAAAGAGAAATTGTTTGAACAAGACTATTATGTAACTGAGGGAAAAGTAATTTAACTGTATGTGATTTTGAATGGGAAAGTTTTGTGCTGTGCAGGTCATTTATTTAGATATTGCTGGTGGATAGCAATTATGTTTGATTTTCATCTCAAATTATTAGTTGCTTTTCTTTTTCTTTCTGGGGAAAAAATAGTTTTATCTAGAAGGAGAGACATTTAGTGGTTTTGTTTATTTTTCTGAGATATGTGATATTATAAATTATACTTGTACTTTTATAACTGAATTATTTTTAGCCATTTGGATTCTTTTTAGTTTCTTGCCCCCAGTGTATTAGCTGGTCTAATTTCAAACTGATGCTTTTCTAATTTTTTCAAATTAAATAAGTAAAAATTTAAGTAAAAAAAAAGAACCACTCAAGTAAATTTAATGGTATAGCTGCGTACATGGTTGTTTATATATTTATATTTTTAGGTAAGTGGGAGGGAAATGTACCATTTAGGGGTTAAGGACTGGGGTTTTGCTTTTGTTCTTTTTGTTTTGTTTTCTTCATTCTATGAACTAGCTAATTGTAAAGGAGTTAGTTTAAAAATTCATCTTTATTAGTAATCAATTTATCAATAAATCATATCCATCACTGTTGCTCAATGACATTCAAAGATGTGAGACTAGTACTGAAATGGGAGAAGGAAATCTCTTCACTAAAGGAGCTGAGTTTAAGTTAAAGTCTTGGTGATAATAAATGTTGAATTATTCTACAAGTATCAGTATAAAAACTAAATTACTAGTATCACTGTTTAAGTATGGGGATATCTAAATTTTTATTTTAATTTCTTTCCTAAATTGGAGAAAAAAGACCCTTAAATAATGATCCTTCCCAAGGGAAACCTAGTATATATATTTAGAGAAATGATTCATTTATTATTGGCATGCCTAGTTTTAAACCTCAGTTTGGCAAAGTAAACTTTTTTTTTTAATTCAGAAATAAAATCAGTTTTCTGATGGTGGGGAAAAAATAACCTTAACAACAGATGTTATCCTTCCATGAGTTATTCTAGTTGCTTCTATTTAAATCTTGGCAAATTAAGGCATCCATATCTCAAACTAAGTCATCTCTTAGACATTGGGAATTAAAATAGCATAGATGTAATGGCTTTAGAACTATGTAAAAAGCCCAGATTGTTTTTCCTGAATCACCATTAGTGGTTGGAAGGTAAGAAAGTAATAGTAACATAAATGAAAGAGAATTCCAAGGTAAAAGTATTTCAAAAAACTGTTAAGAAATATTTTCTAATTACTTGTATAATTTAATAGCATAAGATTCTAAATTATGATATGATTCTAATTGATATACTTGTGAGAGGCCTTGTGAAACTTTATGGACCAGTGAATGTTCACATTCCACAGCAGCATATTGACCAAAAAATACCTGGCCAGTGTGAATTGTGGAGAAACTTTCTTTTTCTGAATAGTTATTTACAAGAAAAGTATTTATTAATAAAATAAATTATAAGCCATATTTCACATATATACTTTGTTCTTTAGCAGTGATAATATAATGAGAAGGAAAATATGAAGTTTAAAATCTCAAATAACTCTATTCCCTATGCTTTACCCCCACCCCCAGTATGGTATTTTTTAGAAGATAGTAGGAGAAGCTTTGTTTTGAGCGTCTGCATGAAAACAAGGTTAATCAGGTCACACAACATAATTCAACCTATTTATCATCTACAGTGTTTTTAGATTTGACCTATAATATGTATATGTTTTTATTAGATCTTTAAATAGTTATTTATAAGTATTTAACTTCAAATAGAAGTTTTGCTGACAGTGGTACATAGTTTGAAAACTTTTGGACCTGATAATATTTGAGAGTCAATTTAGTAAGAAGGTGCTCTGGAGTCAAATAACTTGGGTTTAAATCCCAGATCTGCCAGTTCAGCTGTATGATCTTGGACCCTAACTTCCTCATTGATAAAATGAGGGGGCTGGAATCTAATTCATGAGGTTGTTTGAGAATTAAATGAGATAATGCATATAAAGCACTTAGCATAGTACCTGAAACACAGTAAATTCCTAATTATAATGTCTGTCATAACCATCATAAAATTATTGTTATTAAAACCTCTTTTCTGTAATAGAGATCTCACCGAGTTTAAACTTGGGGAAGATAATGGCAGCAGTGTAGTTTCTGGATCTTCCCGTGAGAATACAGCGTAGCTAGGATAGCCACAGACCCTATTCTACAAAACTAGATGACAGGTGTCCCCATGAACCTCAAAATACAAATAAGTAAGGACAAACCACTGACCAACATAGTTTCAGCATCCGTGTGGGAGTAAGTGAGAGGCAAGCAGCTGGTGTCTGACAGCCTTGAGAAGAGGAGAACTAGAACATTGCCCACATTTCTCACTGCATTGGGCCAATCTGAGAGCAGAAGCTGAAACTGGGAGGGGTTCTACAGGCTCCCATTTGCAGGTGAGTGTTATAGCAGTATAATAAGGTCTGATGATTGTGCTAGAACAGTCTGGGCCCTGTCTTGTATACGTCTTAAAGCTAATGATGTCTCACTGCCTAGCATTGAGGAGAAACTGCTAGAATTAGAATCCAAATTGGACAGGGCAGGTACAATAGGACAAAGAGAAGAGAAAGTCCAGGTAAATGTTGGAAAGGAAGGCCAATATACATACATTATATATAGACATATGTAACTTTTAAATCACTTTGTGAAAATGAAAAAGGAGAGCAAAGAAAAGTCATTGTAGAGCACCCCTCCCTCCTAAAAGTACAGGAAAACTCATTTCACCAAAAAAAGCAACTGAGAAGGATTTCAGTCAAATCCCATTCAAAGTTATTATAAGAAATAAAAGAATAAGCGGACCAACATCCCCACAATGAAAGCACACCAGAAAGACATGACCACAAGACTGATGAAAACCTAATACTTAAAAAAAAAGTTATAACAGAAAATTTATAGAATTTAGAGCCACGTCAATAAAAATGGGAAAAGCTGAAAATTAAATGACCAAGTCTTAAAAACTGTAGGAAAAAGCAAACCAAAAGAAAGCAAAGAGGAGAAGAAATTAGTAAAAAGGTGGGGAGGGGGAGAAAAAGATAGACACACAGCCAGCTAACCTATTCAAGAAAAAAAGGGAGTAATCAAAAGTTTAAATGATAAGAGAGAAATCACAAAACAGGAAAATTTTCAAGATTATGAGACTACTTTAAATTTTTAATAAATTAGAAAAATAACTTTTTTTAGAAAAATGCAAATTGCCAAAATTTACCCTAGTTGATACAGAAATTCAAAACAAACCAATTACCATAGAAGAAACAAGTAAAGGACTCCTTACAAAAAAAGCGTCAGGCCCAGATTGTGTCAAGGGGATTTCTACCAAACCTTTAAGATTAAATAATCCTGATGTTTAAACAATTCCAGAGGCTAGAAAAAGCATCTCGAACCGTGAAGTGCCAAAAAAAAGAAAGCCTTCCAAAATTCATTTTTTAAAGTGAATATAATAGCATTGTTTCCAAAACCTGACTAACATTGTACCAAAAAGAAAATTCTCATGAATATCAATGCAAAAATTTTAACAATATATTACATACAATCCAACAGCACTTTCAAAAAGTAATACATCATGACTAAGTTTAGTTTAAGTTATAGGAAAGCACACATAATTCAGTACTAGACAATCCATTAATAGTCATGTAAAGAGTTAGGGAGAAAAATCATGATTACCTCCATCTTTGCAGAAAAAGCATTTGATGGAATTGAGCACTCATTCACGTTAAATATACTCAATAAGTAGACATTGATGAATAATTCATTGACATTGTACCTCTGCCCAAAAGCCAGCATCTTAACGTCAAAACAAAAGAGGGTTTCCAACTAAAGTCAGGAACAAGGCCCACTATCTCCTCTACTATTTAACATTGTGTTGGGGGTTTTAGCCAATGGAAGTTTGACAAAAGAAAACAAAGATATGTGAGTTGGAAAGGAAGAGGTAAAACTATTTGCAGATATGATTTTATATCTGGAAAACCCAAAGAAATTTGTTGAAAAACTGTAAGAGAACTTAGTAAAGTAGTAATTATATACAGTTAGGATATACGTATCAGTAGCCTTCACCAGCCACGAAAGAGTTCATACTCTGATTCCATTTAGATGAAGTTCAAAATAGGTAAAACTTATCTATGGTGTCAGAAATCAGCATCCTCTTGCAGTCACTACTTCCCTCCCCAGAGGTAAGCACTATCGTGACTTAAATCCGCATCAATTAGTATGGTCTCTTTTTGAGCTTTATGTAAGTGGAATCATAATATATACATTATTTTTTAACTGGCTTCTTTAGCTCAACAAGGACTGGAAGAGTACAAGGTGGCTTCTATGGTGCTGGTAATGTTCTGTTTCATGATCTAGGTGCTGGTTACATAGGTGTATTCACTTTATGAATATTTATCAAGCTGTGTACACTTATGATTTGTGCACTTTTCTGTATGTATAATTATAGTTCAATAAAAATGTTTAGTAAAAAGAATAAAAGACTATATATATACAAACCTCAGCTAGTTAGAAGATATACTTGAAGAGAAGATCCCTTTTATGATTGCAAAAAAGAAAACAAAGAAACAAATAGTTGCATAGTATTGCATTGCATAAACATATCATAATCAGTGTCTTATTTTTCACAATTAACAAAAATATTGCTGTAAGATCCTTGAAAATGTATCATTGCCTACTTAGTGATTCTTTAAGCTAAATTTATAGATGTGGAATTGCTGGGACAAAGAGTGTGCACATTTTAAATTCTAATTCCCTTTGCCACGTTGCTTTCTAAGAAGGTTGTACTGGTGCACACACACTACCTTGACACTGAGATTTTAAAGGTGATCAGAAAATAGTCTTCTGATAATAAAATACTGTCTATTTGTAACTCAGAATTGTGGCATTGGAAAAGACCTTAGTGGCTTAGTTCCTCACCCTCATTTTACAATTATAAATCTGAGGCCCAAAGATGAAGTAACTCATTCAAGACCTAATATGTATGTATGTATATGTATATGAAATTAGTGGCAATGCTGCGAGTAGAATGCGTGTTTTCTGTCTCCAGGACAGGCATCTTCTTTTCATGCCATAATATTTCTTTAATTGAGGTGTTCATCCCTTGCCCTTTTAATATTTTTCCAGATGTTTAGTTCTAATAACTTTTCATTAAAGCTCTTGTTAAAGCTTTAGCTAAATTAAGTGTTGCCGTTAAAAGCGTATGTGGGATTTCCTGAATTGATTGATAGTGCACTACAGTTATGTGAGATGTCACCATTGGAGAAGCTGGGGCACGGGTACCTGGGGCCTCTCCATCATTCGTTTGCAACTTCATGTGGATCTATAAATTTTTCAAAATTAAAAGTTTTTTAAAAGGGTATGTGGGACCGTGAAAGGCATGTAAAATTCATTGTAGAAACTATGAACTTAGGCCCAAAGCCAGTTTCCCTTTCATTTAATCCTAAATAGGCAAGTTGGGGAGTTTGATCAAGCTTTATGAAATCTCTTACGGAGTGAAGGAAAATAATCATTAAAATAATCAATTTGATAAAATGTACATAAGTAGCTTGCTAGAATGTTAATGGATTTTCA